CCCCCGCGCCCCGTGGGGCCTGGGGGCGGCCGCCCACCCCTTATTCACCAGCTCCTGCTTCTCCCTCCACAGGGCTCGAGGCAGCCGAGCTACACAGAACGATAAAGCCCAGTGAGCGGGCAGGCTCAACCGGCCCGAGTGGCCCGGTGCAGCCGCCCAGCACCGCTGCGACCCAGGGCGAGCCCCAGCTCCGGCCCCACACAGGCGCCCACTCCCAGCGCCCGCCCCTGAGGAAGTGCTTGTCGCGCCTGTGGGCACAGCAGCCCGCGCAGCAGCAGCAGCCGGGCGGCACCCCGACCCGCTCGCTCGGCACTGACCGTCCCCGGAGCCTTCCCCTCGCTGTCCGCGCCCCGAGTCACCGGCGTCCCTGCACTCACGTGCCCCGAGCTGCCCAAGCGTGGGCCGAGGGAAAGGCAGGGCGCCCGCGTGGCACCTGGCCCGTTGGCCCCGTAGCTACCACCTGGACGCACCCACTCTGACACGCCCAGCCCCGGCTGCAGGGTCTGCCCACCAGGCAGCGACAGCAGCACCCCGGGAGGCTCGGCTGCCGGGCTGTGCAGCCGCCGGACGGCGCCCCCAGGTTGGCTGCGGAGGCCGAGCCGTGACACGCCCGCCCCGCCTCCAGCAGGTTGCGTTTTTCCTCGTGGGGGCGCCCAAAATGCGGAACTGTGCAGCATTTCGCCTGGCGCTCCCTCCCCGCCAGCACCGCTCGGGGCCCACCCGCCTCGGTCTGGGTCTTGGCCGCGGCCGGCTCCCCTGCGCAGATGGCGCGGCCAGAGCGGTAACGGCTCGGCGTCTGGGTCTCGGGCTCCGCTGGCGGCCCGTCTTTAAACACAGCGGTTTCCGGGCAGTGAGCAGGCCCCGGCCCCTCCAGGCGCACTCCGGTGCACGGCTTGCATGCAACGGCCGGCGAGGACGGTCTGGCGAGCCGAAGGGCACAGGCCCACGCTGTGCCAGCGCCACCCTCAGCATGGCAGAGCCAAAGCGGAGACTGACTGACCCAGAGAAAAACACAAGGGGCCCAGCCACGTGCAACGAGCCAGGAAGCAGCCGCTGGACACCCAGAGGCCGCCTCGCCCCGCCCCAAACATGGACCCCCGCACAGCGCACACACCACCTCAAGCGTGCGGGGACTGGCTGGGCCCCGGGGGCATTCGCAGGCCAGGTGAGGGCCCAGGGCTGGGGAGGGTGCTCCCCAGGGAGACGGCAGGGCGCCTGACATTCCGGGAGCCCCGCTTGTGGCCTGCACACGGGGCTCAAATTCCAGCCCGGCCACCGCCTCTCACTGAGCTGTCTCCTGCCCTCCTGGACTGGCCCTGGAGGGCTCAGGGTGCCGTGTCCCGCCCTCCTGCTGCGCTCACGCTGCTTATTCCCGACGCAGGGCCAGCCCGCGGGGTGCCCTGTGTCGGGCACCACAAACAGTGCAAATAGTCTGGCATCTGTGCCCTTCTTCACAGTCACGATGGGACAGGGCACAACTGGGCAGCTTGGGTTTCCAGTCTGAAACCAGCCCCTGCTGCCACTGCCCAGCCCTGCACCAACAGAGGAGCCTGCCCCGCGGCAGACTCAGGTGCCAGGCTGCGCCTTCCGGGCAGGGGGTGACCAGTGGTCGGGCCAGCGGGGCACGGGGATGACCAGCAGGGGCCAGGGTGCCCGAGAGTGGCCAGCGGGTCAGTCCAGGACCCACGGCCGCACGTCTTCTCCGAGGGCCGGCAGGGGCCTACTGGGAACAGGCGCGAATCCCACCCCGCGCCGGGCACGGGCACCAGCCGCCGCCGGCCGCCACCCGCGATCGCGAGGGCC